TCTGGCTCTATCAATTGTGGAGTGGAAAACCCCCTTTTAAAACACACTCAACCCAATTTCAGCAGCTTGGCACAATTTAAAAGTCACTTTGACTAACAACTGCAATTGCCAGCTGAAAATCAATCAGGGTATCAAGTCGCAAGGGACCGAGCCACAGTGGGCCAATTCAGAGTGCCGAAGTGGGCCAACACTTTCGCTTAGCCCTCGGTGAGTGGCGCAAGCCAATGGTGACAAAATCTATATTTGAATTCAATTTAAATTGGATGAAAAATCAACGGCGCTAAATAGAGCCAAGGCGAGGCTGTAAAAGAAGAAGAAGCAGACGGCAAAGGCGACGGCGACGGCGACGGCGACGGAGCCAGCAGAAGTTCAGCTTGGGCGAAAAAGTCAGCGTGTGTGAAATTGCTGGGGCGCAAAAGAAGATGGGCGAAGCAATACAATAAGCGAGTTTGATTACAAAACTTCGACAATTTGCTACAATTTCAATGAGACGGAGGCAGTGGGAAAGGGAGAGCCAGAGGGTGAGGGAGAGCGAGAGATCCGATATAATTTAGCAACCTTTGCGATGATGTATGATATTTGCTTTGATTTTGGTTTTGGTTTTTGGACTGCGGCTCGGACGTGGCTTTTGGCTGTTGCGCAAATACCTGGCTACCTGAAGTGGATGTGGCTATTGCTGTAGATGCTGCCCTCTGCACGTTAACGGCTTATGCTTCTGCTTCAGCTGCTGCTGCTGCTGCTGCTGGTGTGGCGGATGCGGCATGTGCCACACGGGATGTTCTCGACTCGACTCGACTCGACTCGACCCGTCTCAACTGTTTAGCATATTCATTGCTGATTGCAGCGCCATGATAATTATAATTCCTCGTTTAATTCTGGTTGTACATCTCGTTTTCTTCTTCTCTCTATTTTTTTTTACGACTAGTATGCACTGCCTTTAATTACCTTCCTCTTGATGTTGCTTTGCATAATTGCGTTGTTGTTGCCGAAATCATCATTAGAACTTTTATTTGCACAATAATCAGCTAACTGCAGCTGCACTATAAGCCAAGAAAAGAAAACGAGCCCATTCAAAGGAGCTCGTAAAACAATACAACCAAAAACAACCAAAAATGGCAAAACGGCAAAAAATCTGCGCTGCAACCAGAACAATAAGAACTCGAAATGCGTTTATCAAGTTGCGCTCTGTTTAGGAGTTGTTTAAGTAGGATTTTAAGCTTGAATAATGTGCGCTCCGAGTGAATTAATGATATGTCGTGAATTGGGACTGGGCAGTCGCTGCAATAGCTGGCAATTGCAGTAACAGTTGCATTGAATGCATTTGTATGTATGTATATGTGCAGAGGGTCAGAGATACTTAGGAGTCGCTTCCTGCCTGCATGCATACAGAGTGAGTCTCATAGAGGCTACACATATGTATATAAGAGGAAGCAGAGGTCTTACGACATGAAGAGCTCTTAAATACAATAATTAGTTATTTTACATGACACTGAATAAGAATCAAGCGGGAGAGAGAGAGAGAGAGAGAGAGAGAGAGGGAAAGATAGAGAGATATATTCTCCACCCAGAAACAATCTGATACTACCATTTCTGCTCTTCTCTAATCACATTTTAATATACAAAATATCATTTCCGACCAATTCAGATTTCAGATTCAATTAAAATATGCCGAAAACCTTCAGAAATGTCAACGCCCTACCCAAGAACCTCTTCAGCTACTAGCAAGGACGGCTGGGTAATGCAGCTTCAATTAAAATGAGTACACTGCTTAAATAAATAATAATAAAATTATATTTTTTTTATAAGAATATAACAAAATTACGCCATTATTTTCAGAGATATTGTTCTAAGTAAGTAAAATTCCCAGCCTCTAGTCAGTGGGCTTAAGCACTCGAGCCTATATTAAAAAAGCATTTCGTAACAAATTTAATAAATTATGCTAAGCACCACAGCGACAAAGAAAATGACCGCATTAGACTGAAACGCAGCACAGCAAAGAAAAAACCATTTAAATGGAGCTAATGCTCCATAAAGCTGACAGCAGAAAATGATGCGAGGCAGCCCCAAGTGTCAACAACGATATGAAAGTCAGCCACATGTGTGTGTGTGTGTATGTGTGTGGGAGCATAATTACTTTATTATTGTTTTCGTCACGTATCTAAACCAATTTTCAAGAAGCAGCTGCCGTTTGGCTGCTGCTGCTGCTGCTGGTGGTGGCACCTCGGTTTGGCTAAAAGTCAAGGTTAATGCGGCCAGCCAAATTATCCGGACGTTCGAGCTGATGGCACATGTTGTGTCTGCGCAGCCTCGTCTCAAGGGCAGCCCCGTGTCGAATTTTCAACGGGCATTCGACGAGAAAAGCACACACATAATAATCCATGGCAGCGTGTGAATCGAGTCTTAAGCACTAATAAAAATATGGCCACAAGTCCATTGGAAAGGAGCAACAACGTGGAGCTATATTAATTACCGTTCAGTTCGAATTGGCTGAACGCAGTTTGGGGATCATTATGAAATGGCAGCACCAACGCCTAATGATAATGGTCATATGAAATATCAAGTCAGACAGACAGACAGAGAGACAGAGAGACAGGTGGACAGGGGGACAGGGGGACAGGGGGACAGAGAGACGTACCTGCTGCCTTTTGGAGCGGGCAGTCGCAGCATATTTAGGCTTTTCTTGTTTGCAACCGCCGTGTGGCAGTTGCAATGACTGCGCTGATTAAGGGAATTTCTCACAGACAAACAGCAATAGCAACAACAACAACAACAACAACAGCAACAAACATAAATAAATAACTGAAAAACTAAACCAAAAAGCAGCAGCCGCATTGCCAAACGTTTGACGTTGCTCTTGTTGTTGTTGTTGCTGCAGTTGTTGTTGTTGTTGTTATTAGCTGTTGCTGCTGCTGCAATGCTTTTCTCGAAGGTGAACCAGAATGAGTCTCAGTCTCAGTCCCAGACTTCGGTCTCCGTCTCAATCTTAGTCACAATATTCGTCTCTGCATGCGCTTCAATTGAAGCGCATTGAAAGCCATTTCAAGTCAATATATACATATACAGTTATGTATGTATGTATGTACATACATATATGCATGTATATATTCCTTAGCTCAACCGGATTGCTGCCACTGCACATCTTTTGAAAGTGAGCGGCTGCTGTCGCTGGCTGCATCAATTCTAGAGCGAATGTCTGCTGTAAATTTATTGCTGCGATTTGATTTTAATTAGTTTAATTTATGATAATTTATAATAAAAATGCATTTACAGCGTGGGTTACGGATTTGCGTAATTAAAGTGCTTAACAGCATCCGACAGCTACTCCAGTTTGAAGACCTATCCGGGATTGTTTACTTAAGCCGATTATCAAAATGAATAACTGCATTTATGTAGTCTTTCATTTATCATATGTGCACCTCAATTTATTTACTATTATTTCTATTATTATTATTCTATTATCCACTATCAAGTTCGTTGCCTAAGTCTTTTGTTTTGTTGATATTTTGCTTGACCATGCATAAGAGCTTATTCTGTCAATATTTTTAATAGTTATTATCAAGTTTACTAACTTTTATATGCCCTCAAATCATTTCAGAGACCATCAGAATTTTCTAATATAAGAGTAGACCACACTATATATATATATATGTATATATATTACACACACATTCCATTTCTCTGATACGATATGTATCCCAACTCGCCAATTTAATTTCATTACAAATATTTATATTTCAGCTCTTATTTAATACCAATCAAGTGCCAAGTTCGTTGCCCAAGTCTTTCGTTTTGATCACAGTTAAACGGTATTAATTGCAATCATTTCGCCGCAAGTAATCGCTGTGACAGTCTTACAAGTTCGTTGCCTAAGTCTTTTGTTTGGCTTTCATCAATAGCTCACAAGCCAAATGAAAATTTGCACTAATTTTGTGATATTTGTTTCTCTCTCATTTTTATAGTAACAACACAAAATGTGCCAAAATCATAAACAAACAAATGCCGCAAACAAAACAAGGCAGCCCAACAATGCTGTAACGCCGCTGCGATGCTGCGAGGCTGCGGCATCTGCCACAGAGCTCCAAATATTTGACGCGATGAATGCGAAGCAGCGAGCAGCACGAGAGCCGAATGAGCGCCAATTGCACGATGATTTAGCTTCAGTTTCGGCTGCTGCTCGCCGAATGATGACGACGACGACGACGACGACGATGACGATGAGTTTGCTCTTTGGCAATTGCGGCAGCAGCAGCAGCAGCAGCCGCAGCATTGACGATGACTCTGTGCATTTGGCTTGTATTGCGGCGCTCATCTATTGGCCCCCAGCCGAGTGGCAAACGACGCCGCCGCGCTCGACCTGCTCTTGAGTATAAAACTAAAATTGATGCGAAATTTTTTCTAACTTTTGCATCAACTCCAAACGCGGCAACACGTGCAGCTCGCAGCTCTCGCGACCCAAAAACGTACGAACCAAACAGCACAAGCAAAATAAAACAGATAAAGTCAAGAAAAACTCAGTAAATATCAACAAACATATCAAGCGTTGTTCAAGTGTGCGGTTAAGTGCGTGCCTCTTAAGCTGAGAGATTAATTACGTAAAGCTTATAAAGCAAAAACTAAACTATATAATGACTTGGAAATAATTTAATAATAATGCAATTGTAGCCTGGCAATTGCTTAATTTGAAAGATTTTAATGGGCATTGCCTATGGAAAATATAGAAATACACATATGTGTATATATAAATATATATATATTTTTTAATTTTAAATATGCGTTATGCTTGTGGCGATGCATAGATAATTAGCATATGGAAATCTTTAAGGAAATTACAAGGAAACTGAACCTTTTTATTCAGTGTTTATAAGAATGAAAAAAAAAGGATTTCACAAAGATTTTGTGTACTTGAGGAATTTTAATATAATCAATGCATAATATATAACAATAAATAAAAATATTTATTAGAGCAAGCAAAGTGGACCTTAAGTGGTCCTAAATAGTTGTGCTCATTATAATATGTTGGCTCATTGTTAGAATCTCTGTAAAGAGCTATATATATTATATATTTGAGAGGCGGCTCTGCTAGAGCTTCAAGTCAGAGCTCCTGACTTAAGATTCTGTTAGTGTATGTTTACTTCTTCACACTTATAAGAACAGGATTTGCTAGAGAGTTTGGCATAAATGAAAGGGTCCAGGATTAAACTGTACTACAAAAAAAAAAAAAAAAAAAAATTATAGATAATATTGAAAATATTATATTATTTCATCTACTCTAGTAGTAATACTTAAAGCAAGTCCATTATTAGTTAACTGCCCCACATGTCTCTCAATTAAGTTCAATCAAAATAGTTCCACACTCGTCTCAATGTAATTATCACCTACAACGTTGAGTTAATCAACCATTAAACGCAATCAAAAAGCAATACAAGCCACACTCAAAAGCCAAGTGGCAAGAAGTGAATGTTGTTGCAACAACAGCAAGAGCAGCAGCAGCATCATCTATTCCTGGCAAGGCAACCGCAAGCATTATAGAAACTGCCGCAGCTAACGTAACCACAAATGCCCATTACCATTTGCGGCAAAGCATAAAATTCCAAACAGAGCCCAGAGTCGCATGCATCAGAAAATAATAAAAATATAAAAATGAAATCTAATTACATGCCAAAGCCGAGAAGAAACACTTGAGAAGACATCTCAGCTTGTCTTGGGCCCAATGCAATTTTCCAATTGCAGCTTCCTTTCTAAAAAACACACACACACACATACACACAAATTGGATGTTGTGTATATAACATCTAATAGCACTTAGCTTAGCTCGTCTTTATTTTTCTCTTTTCGATTTTGTATTTTAGATAGCAACAACAACAGCAACAACGAACAGCGAAACAGCACACACACACACACACAAAATCACATTTAAATTACGTATACGCCGCGTAGCCGTAAAGCCCAAAATCACAGACATCATGGCAGCCGCAACAGCCGCGAACAAATCACCACAACAACAGCAACAACAACAATCTAGCAGACAACAGCAGCAGCATCTTCATCTGGCAGCCAGCAGCAACAGCAGCAGCACCGCCTCCTCCTTCTGCTCGAGCAACTTCATTGCCTCCTGCATGTCCATCGTTTTGGTTGTCGTGTTCGCTGTGCTGCTGGCAGGAAACTGTGTCAATGGGGTAAGTTCGGCTGAGGGCGCACCATGAAACCATGAAACAACTTAAGTCTCAACTCAACTCTCAACTGCATGTCCGCCCCTCTCACCCTTCCCCTCTCTCTCTCTCTTCATCTCTCTCACTCGTTTTCGATTTGTCTATTTATTGCTCTTTGTCAATTATCTTTTTTCATTTATCGTTGAAATTTTTGACGCTCATAAAACTGTATAGCCCTGGGAATAAAATCGCATTAAAAAAAATTTAAAACAATTTGATAGCTTCATTAGCGTTAGAATGGATATATCATGAGCTGCAGCAGCAATAATAACAACAGTAACAGTAGCATCCACGGCAGCAGCTGCTAAAAAAGTGTCATCTGAGATAATTTCTATACTCATTCAAAGTAAAAGATTGCGCACACCATTTGTCTCTTGTCTGATTGCGATCTACACACAGCTAACATCGCCAGCAACTACAACAAACTCCCACGCAAAGTTGCAGTCGCAGTCGCCTCAGTGGCAACAACAACAACAACAACAACAACCAGCAACAACAATGCAATTGTTGCCAAGACAAAAATAAAAGTGGACCAAAAAGTCTCTCGATTTTGCAAGTGCAGCGACAACGCCGTCGTCGTCGTCGTCGTCGTCGCCGTCGCCGTCGCCGTCGCCGTCGACCTGTCTGCAAAGTGTTAGACATCTTCTCACGTCCGCAAACGCCACACCAGCTTATACGAACCCGATGGCTCCTCCATTGGCCAGGCCGCATTTCCCATTGCATGCAGACTTGGCTGGCTCAAGGTGTCGTCATCGTTTGGCTTTTTCTTCGTCTGTTAGTGCTGCTGGAGCCTCTTTACTTAAGTCTTTTATCAATTAGCCTTGGTGAACTGCTCTAAACAACAACAACAACAACTAGAGCAAAGAAAGGCAAATTGCGCGCTGTGCCGTTGCTGTTGTTGTTGGTTTGGAGTCTTCGTCGTCTGGTATTTAAACAGCCAAAGAGCCAAGAGCCAAGAGCTAAGAGCTAGGCAGCTGGGTTACTGTGGCACTGGGCGTCTATTGTTGTTGCAGTTGCAAATGTTAAACCCTCATGAAAGTTATTAGCGTGCAGCAGGAAATTGCACAGGCAATAAAAAAGCTGTTAAACTGTTTGGTAAGAGCTGAGAATTGTTATCGAATAGTTAGCAAATAGCCGCTGCATAGTTATCGAACAGGAATTGACAAGCTAATGAACAGCTGGAGATTAATAAAATGGTCACCCTAATCACAGTTGCCACTTTAGTGCACAAAATGCACTAAAATACCAATTTCGTTAAGAAAAAGGACTAATAAACTCCTGTCGTATTTTTTGTGGTCTTTTATTTAGTATTTGCATAAAGCACCCATATATTTAAATAGATTTGCAAAATAAGGCATTTTAAACTTAAATACAAAATTAAAATCATTACTAAAATCGTTTAAATTCCCTCTACAATTTAATTTATAATGCCAATTTCACATTTTGCAACACTGCTCATCAGCATAAAATAAACATTAACCTCAAATTGAACTATAACAATAAAATATGCATTTTGACATGGGCGCCTGCAAAAAAAAAAAAAAGAGTCCATCCAAAGATTTTTCGTCACACGCCTTGCAAATGAATTTATTTAAGCGTATCGCAGCTGCAGCGGCAACAATGCGAAATTGGTGTGGAAAAAATGTATTTAGATTGGAATTGAGGCAAGATCAAGATAGCCGAAAGATAGGCCAGTGACATGCAACATGTTGCACAGGAATACGAAAATGGAATGGCGCATCGAACAAAAGAACAACACAGCTGTAGAGCGCTGCTGTCGAATGTCAGTCATGGGAATGTCATCGCCTGTTGGTACGTGTGTGTGTGTGTTTGTGTGTGTGGTACTTGTGGTGTTGCCACTTGGTCGCGCTTTGGTGCTGTGTCAGCGTTTCATGGTTTCATACGCATGAGATTGACAGTTCTCTGTTGTTTTTATTGTCACACACATACACACACACGCACGCATACATAGATAACCACCCACAATTGCACATTTTTCAACACTCACTGATTCTTTTGTTGATCTTTATTCAGTTTTTTTGTTCATATTTTTTGCTGGTTTTTCGACAGATTTTTCGGTTGATGCATTTGCATTTTAAATTTTCGGTTTCTGTTTCTATTGCTTTTTTTTTTTATTTTTCGCATGTACTAAAATTGAGTGTGTGTGGCAATTGTTTCAGGCTCGTAATTTGTTATTGTTTAGACATCATTTTGCTGTTTGTTTTGCCGTGATTTTAAATGTGCCCTGCTTAAGCAATCAACAGCCAAACGAAGGTCACCCGTTGCAGTTGCACTCGATGAGATAATTCACATACCCATGCACGAGCTGTACTTGAAAGTCGCATCTCATTTATGGTTTACGATTGCAGCAAATTGATGGCTACATAGCTGGCGAGGATTATCCCATCTATGATGCGGTGCCCAAGGGTTTGTCATTCAACTGCCAAGGACGTCAGCCGGGCTACTATGCGGATACCGAGACGAGGTGTCAGGTGAGCTAACCAGAGCAACGACTTGGCTGATTCTCTCAACAAATATTACTCAAACAATCTTCTCTCACACAATGCTCTCTTCAAGGTCTGGCACTGGTGCCTGCACTCTGGCCATCAATACTCGTTCCTCTGCCCGAACGGCACCGTCTTCAATCAGGCTGTGCGCGTCTGCGATTGGTGGTCGAACGTCAACTGCGCCAGCTCCGAGCAGCTCTATCAGAATAACGATGAGCTCTATCGTATACCGGAGCGCAGCCAACAGCAGCAGCAGCAGCAGCAGGAGCAGGCTGAGGTATGATATAAGGCTGATGATGAGTATAAGATTGGGAAAACACACACAACAACGGCGGAGGCAGCGGATCGGCAGCGAGGCAGCAGACAGCGACAGTTTCTGGCACAAAACAAAAGCAGCAGCAGCAGCAGCAACAGCAACATAGATAAAAGCAAACACAACAGCAATAGCAACAACAACAGAATCGTAGATAGCACCTCACCAACCAACTACAGTAAAATGACCAAAAATAGTTTTAGAGGCAGCATGAGATACAAAACCAATCAATCTCAATCGTCATACTCATCATCACAGCAACAGCAACAGCAACAATTTAACTCTAGTAAATATAGCGAATATCAAAGTAGACAAAATAGTAGTGGCAGTAGCCGTAAGCAGGGCAATAGGAATAGCAGTAGAAATAAAGGAAATCAATTTAGCATAGCAAACACATCCTCTAGACATAACACAGCACAGCACAGCAATCACAGCAACAGCAGCAACAGCAGCAGCAGCAGCGGCAACAACAACAACAACAGCTACAAAAGCAAGCAACGCGGCAATATGCGCTACAATTTGAATAAATTTGAAAACGACGATGAGCTCAAAGATTATAAAAGTAAAATTAAAAACAAATATAATATCGATTATGATCATTCTTTGGATGAAGAATATGAAATAATCGAGGCCATTGAGTGAAAAGCAACATACAAATTAGAAATTACTGAATCAAATAAAGAACAAGGAACCAAAAGCTTTGTAATTGTTGTCGAATTAAAAAAGTGCTGCAAATTGGCGCTAATTTGTGAACCATCTTAAAATACCCTCACCAGTTGGCTTGTTACCCAATGTAAAAAAATTGTATATATATGTATATTCCCAATTCATCTAAAATTTATATACCTGCAAATAAATATAAAAATAAAATTATACAAATATGTTATTGTTTTCTGTTGCATAGTTTTAGACACTGCGAACAAGCTTTGCTTCTGTGCTTCTGCTACTCTCAAGCTCGTTGCTATGTAACTCACGCTTGCTGCTCATCATTTACTATAGTCATCTCTTTCTCACGCACTTTGCTATAGTTACCTGTTTGCTTTGCAAAGCTTTGCTTGCAGATCAGCTGTTGATCATATGGCTTTAAGCTTTGCCTAAGTACTGGAAGCGGAGCGCTTCCAGTTTCCAACTGTCAACGTCGGCTGCGTGTGTGTTGGCTTCTCTTCTTTTTGTTTATTTATATTTTACTCAACAGAATGTGCACGAATAGATAACAATAAGGTAAAAATATTAATATAAGATTAGCATTAAGAAGATTGATAGTGTTCAGATGTGACTGGTTGATGGCTTTTTTTTAGGCAAACTGTTGCTTCGTGGAAGACAGTCTCAGAAAGTTCGGGAATAAGCAGAAACAAAGAGAAGAAGATACCGGTGATGTGTGAATGTGTTTGGAATGTGAATTTGGAGTGGGTTTCGTTGACTGTTGTGATTTCATATGTAGAAATAAAATTACTTCTTGGTTAGTAGCATATTTCCAACTAGAGTTGCTGTTCGAGAAGAAATATACATAAATGTGTCTGGAATGTAGATTTGTAGTTTTAATATTTTGTCATGTAGCTTAAATCTATGACCATAATTACAGCTAAAGTCCAATTTCGATGTTTTTCCAATAAGAATCTCTTGGCTTTCCACCAAATCAGAGAAACACTTTCAAAGAAACAAATACACCATAAAACAAACCCGGTTATACAAACAATAAAAACATGTTCAGGCCTCGGGCCTACCTAATTAAAAGTCAATTGTCAACTTTTGGTCATTGGGCAGCCGCAGCTGACACAATTTGTGCAATTAGCGAGTAGAAATGCGTGTCAGACTGTCCACCCCCACTCCCTAATCCGAGTAGACCCTAGCAGGCCCATTCAGCGATGTCTATCTATGACGGCATCTACTTAAATGTTTTCATATCATGTTTTCAACTGGTTTTGTTGGCTTGGCACGACATGCCTTGGCCTGGCCTGGCCTGGTCTGGTCTGGTCTGGTCTGTTCGCTGGTCACCCACATTTTAATGGGTTACTGCCAAGTGGCCAAGAAATTAACGCCATTTGCCTTATATAAGTGCGAATTACTCAAAAAAGCGTTTAATGTCTATTACGCTTTGTGGGGAAGTAACAAATTTGCTAATTAACATGCAGCTAGATAATTTACTATGTGATGCAAATGTCATGTAGCCAAGAAATTGAAATTATTATATGGCCATACATATAAGGCATATGCCATAGGTTGAACAGAAAACAAGTAGGAAATTTGGGCAAAGTAGACTTGTAGATATCGTGTAAATCAGATTTTATAGAGCAAAGCTGGCAAATAGTTGTGTATGATTTGATGTGAATTTAGTTATTGGAATTTTCGCTATAACAACACAGAAAGCTCTCATCCACCTGCCAACCCTTCTATATACCCTTCTATATTGCCCACAGCTACAGGGTATCTACCAAAACGGAGTGTTTCATGCGAATAAGGTGAGAATGTCAGAGGGTCTGGCGCAGAAACCGGTACGCATCTATACGGACGAGTACGCGCACTTATCAGAGACTCAGACAACTGCCTTGGCTACCAAACAAAATAAAGAGACGAAAAATAAAAACTCATTTAAGCGAATCTTTTGAGTCTGTTGACGACTCAAGTTTTTCAGTTTCGCATCTTGAATCTAGTGTCTAGTTTTTGGTTTGACAACTCGACAGCCGAGCAAGAGGGTGGACAGGAGGAGGCCAGCAGAGACCGAGCTGCGTCTTTGTCTGTGGCTCAGTTTATGCGACAGTTCAACTTCAGCATTTACATATCTCACGTTGCTTGCAGTCAGGAAGAATTCGATTGGCGAGTGGAAGTCAGGTCCGCAGGCATTGTGAAGGCAATCCACTTTTGTCCATTTGGCGACTGGTTTCTTAAACACATTTTCATTTTTCTCTCACTTTCTGTCCCGCTCTCCCTCTCTCTATCTCTCTGATGGTATTGCGACAACTGCGGAGTTTTTTGCGCGTACATCTTGAAATTAATGTAATATACTTTGGTTGGCTTTTCGAAAACGGCACGACGCCTGCCACACCGGTCAGCCGCATAGACCCATCCAAGTTGAAGTTGATTTGTGCGCTTTAAATAATTGCTGCATTTATCAGCGGCAAGCGGCAAGCGGCGAATAGTCGTAGTCGTCGCTGCAGATGCAGCCAAAGTCAAAGGAGGAGCAGCAGCAGCAGCAACAAGAGCCGCGCATCGTAAGGTTAAGCAGATTTTGTTAAGCGATTGTCAAGTGTATTGAAGATGCAATCGAGTTTTTGTGGCTCGCTCTCAACTCACTTTAATTTGTCAAACATGGCTAGCAGACAGTGGTGTGGCCGAAAGGGGGGCGGCGGCCACTGACTCGCCGCTTGGCGCTGGAAGGTTGCTGTCAAGGTCAGGCACAGAGTTTAAGTAGCTCTACCTATAAATAGTCCACAGCCAACAGAGATTGACGGCCAGAGAATGCACAGCAAATCCATTATTCATGGCTTCGTTCATTTATTAACTGATTTGCAAGTCTAAAAAGCAGATCTTGAGACTGCAACTTAAGCTGGACTCAAGCTACGCTTGTTAAGATGCGCTTCGTTAGCCAGGCTTACAATATCCATGGATTAGAGACTAGGTTTTGTAGCCATAGACTCACTTTTCGAGCTCAGCTCCTAACTATGTTTTTCTTTAAGTCTTAGCCTTAGCTGTTAGTCATGGCTCTTGATCTGAAGTATTTAATCTGATTTGACTCAGACTCAGATCTGGATCTCTGATCTTGATATACGATTTTAGGATCCTAACTTAAATGTCTCGAGTGTCTGTAAATTTCACACTCTCTCCCCTTTCTCTCATTCAATTTCAACTTGTACCGCTTCACTTAACACACAGATTGATCAAAATCTTTGCAGCTGATATAATATCTGCCCAAGTCACGCCCACTGCTACAGTTGCAGTTAGCAAACAAATGCACGAAGACAGACCAGCTTTTCGCAATCGAATTTGTTTATGGATGCTGTTATTTATGTTGCTGTCGATTATCGAATCATTTATCTTCATCAATTTGAGCTGCCCGCCCCGAAACCAATTAAATTACAAACACATTACAAATGCGTTGAATATATTTGATTTTTCAAAAAAATAAAATAAAATAAATATCTTTTTCTTTTACAGGGCGCGCAAATAAAAGCAGAGCCAAAAGCAACAACAATGGAAACCGAAAAAAAATAAAAGCGAAATAAATTGTACAAAGCTGGTGCACAAATTAACATAATTAAGCGGCGCGCATAGTGATCAAATGACAACGTGAGATATACCAACAACAACAACAACAGCAGCAGCAGCAACAACAACAATAAGAGGTAGCTAAAAAAAAACTGAAAGCGGCAGCAACAATTATTACGAGCGTAAAAGGCCGAAATAGCGAAATACGAAAACACGAAAAATCGAAGAGACGGGATCATCAACACTATAAAATTCAAATGAGGCGACAACAACCATGAACACAGCAGCAACACTAGCAGCAACAACAACACCGACAACAACGACAACGACGGCAACTTAGGCATCTGTCAGAGACGAAAGCGAAATGTGCATCTTGAACGCCACACTAATGCGCTGCTCCACACAATCAATACACATCAGCAACAGCAACAGCAACAACATTGACATCGACATCGACAACAACAGCAACAGCAATACAACATCTACCACAACAGCAGCTACAACAATTGCATAAGCCACAAAGCGATCCAAAGCGACGCCTCAAGCGACCCCATTTCAGCAAATCGCAATCTTTGCCCAGCTCGCTCGACCCTACGCGTAGGCACTCAGCCGGCAAGCTGCGAGCGTTTTACTCTGGTTATATTTTTCGTAGTCAGTCAGTCAGTTAGCCAGTCAGTCAGTCTTTGAGTGTATTTTCATTTGCATTGCGCATACGCAACGTTAGCCGGCGTCAGCAGCAATGGATGTGCTGGAGCTGCTGCATCAAGTGGGCGTGAACATATTTTGGATATTCAAGATCTATATTAAATTTGCTCTAGTTACGCTCGTCGTCTACTTTGCTGCCGAGTGGTATATAGTGCGCTATGGGGCCGAGCTGGAGGATCAGCTGGACGCTCAGCTGGCGGCCAACGAGCGTCCGGCCTCGAACAGCACGTTGAGCAAAGTGTTTCGCTTCGTGTTGAACTTCTTTATCATCTAAAGAACTAGATATACCACCTGATATATACATATATATATATATATATATTTATATAGATATATGTGTATAACTGATTCAAAAGCAAGGTCAAAACTCAACTCGAATTCGATATCGAATCCGAATTCGTATATGAATCGATTGCGGAATTGCAATTCGTTGCGGTCGCTTTGCTTTTGCTTTTGTTTTTGTTTTTGTCTTGTTTCTTTTTTTTTCGCCAAGGCCTGCAAGAGAATGTAAAACCCGATTTGTTGTCATAAGAAAAACAACAGCAAAGAAGTACACAAAGTATATACATATTTATATGTACATATATAAAACAACAAATACATTCTTTTCCATGTAATTACGTAGTAACAATAAACAAACAAACGGGTTGAACGACTTTTTGCTCCTAAGAAAAACAATAAAAGTTATTTTGAATGCATTTTGTTCTTACAAAAGAGACAGAAATCATTTTGTTTGTTTAATTTTTGGGTGGGGCTTATTGTGGTTACTTGAAAATTGGCACAAATGTAACGGTTAATTTTGATTATTTTTTTATGCAAGAAAACTCAATTGATTAACTCGGGCGCGTGACTCGCTTCAGTCAGGCTTAAAATTTAAATAATTTCTTAATGCAAGTTGAATTTACATATAATACAATATATATGTATAATATAAATGAACGGCATTTATCTGCCGATTTAATAAATTAGTTTCGATTTCTTAACAGCTTAGTTAAACATGTTTTGGCCTGACTAAAAACAGCTGCCGACAATTGCCAAACGCAAATTTGACTTGCAAAAATATTTGGCAAAAAAAAGTAGCTTAAAAATAGAAAAAATTATCAGAAAAAAATATTGAAAAATATTTAAAAAAATTGAAAAATGTTGACTACGCTTTTGACAGTTAACTAAAATTAAAATAATGTTAATATATATATAAAACTGTTCGACTGGCAGATACGCTGCATGAATCTGTGGATTATTTATAAATTATGATTATATACTTTTTAGATAAATAATTAAAAAAAAAAAAAAAAAAAAAAAACAGGTTCAATCATAAAAAAAAATAAAATAAATAAATATAAAAATAAAAATTAATTAATTAAAAATAAAATAAGTAAAATATGGCTGCATTTAATGACTTTTTTAAATATAATAAATTCGTAAAGACAACTGAGATACAATTAAAAAATTTATGAATAAAACTTGAGTTAAGTCAATATTTAAAAGCTGCAATTATTATTAAACTTAAAGAGTTAAGTTCGCTATTAAAAACGCGATTATCCTATCAAATTTTGATTTGCTATATGCGAGTTTTCGCATGCCTAAAAAATTGTAACAAATTTTGTTTATCAGAGCAGACATCAGAAACAGCTGGGCGATTGGCAGCTGGAGGCAGCGGGCTGCCGACCAGGCTGAGAGCCGCTTAACAGTTACAACATGTACTAAAAAAACTGCAACAAGACTTGGATAGTAACGCACATACCGGTTCGGTTAGCCGACCCACACACACACACACACACGCACACACGGAGAGTCGACATATTGCACTCATTCTCAATAGCGAGCACACATACATAGAGCATAGCAAACAATTGCATGAATATGAGTAGGTGCTATTAATATAACATCAATTTAAGGCACAAGCCATGTATGTGTCTGTGTATGGTATTAGTATATGTTTGTCTGTATGTGTGTCTATGCCTGTTGCTCCAATTTGAATACAGGCAACGACAGTCGCCATCAAATTCAACTTTCACATGCGCAGATGCAGTGCAACAGACTCCAAGTACTTTAGCTCTGTGACGTAACACACACACAGACACATACACACACACACAGAGTCAGTTAAATAAACTGCAGACACAGCCTTAAGTCGTTTGGCTGTTTAAAAGAGAGATATATAGGTATGTATATATGCCATAATCCCCAGTTAGCGCAGCAACAACAACCACAACAACAACAACTACTACTACAAAAGCCTGATGGGGAGCAGTTGTTGTGACCGTTGATTGATTTCATTATGAGCCGCTTGAAACGCTTCACATTATTTTGCATTCAGTCGATTTTAGATTTAGTCATTTAATATACGGCTATGCCTCTGTGTATATATGAGTGTATGTGTGTGTGTGAGTGTATGAGTGCTTATGCTTGTGCCTAACTAAAATTTAATTGTGCTCCGCACCATGCGGCGTATGCGCAATAATTCATGAGCCGTTTAAGCAATTTATGTGTCTCTGGACAACGTCCACGACTTATTGTGTTACGGTTGTTTTCTGTATGTGTGTGTATGTGTGTATATGCATGACTAATAGCAGATGGCTTTGGCCTACGTTGGTTTATTAATTGAAATGCCCGACTCTCTTGTTGTTGTTGTTGTTGTTGCTATTGTAGCTGCTGCTGCAATTTGTTGTGTTATTGTTATTATGTCATTGCGGTCACTCAGCAAATCAAACGGAAAGTATTCGAAATAAATTAACGAGCACATGAATATCAATTGTGCATCGTTAATAGATCAGTCACAATTAAATATACATAAAGTGCAATGCGGAAAAAGAAAGAGTATTTATAGGATATAGTATAGGAAAATTCGCAGCAAACACTGTTAAACATATGCCAAGATGAACAATGAAAACAGAATTTAAACAAAAATCAATAAAAACGATAATAATTTATCAATTTAAAAAAAATACAAATACAAATTCTAATTCTCACTCAATAAATTTTGCAAGAATTTCAATAAATAAATTGTATAGAAAAATTAATATTTATATATAGCTATACTAAAATCTTAATAAGCAAAACCTGTTAAGCTGCTTATGAGATAAAAACAAGCGACTAAACAGCAAATGCTGCAAACTAAACTCAACAGCAAAAGCAAAAGCAAAAGCATAAGCTAAGCAAACAGTAAAAGCAAAATCAAAACAAAAACAAAACAAACTACAAACTATTGCAGAATGTGAAGGAAAAACTGTAACAAAAACTGCTACACAAAGAAAAGCTTTGGCTTAAGCTTAAGCTCGAGCGCTCTCTCAAGCAGCGGCTGCGCACGCTCTCTGTTACGCTCTCTCTCTCTCCCTCTCTCTCTCTTGCTCGTTACAGCTTGTTCGGCTGAGCGCATGCGCAGTTGCCGATGTCGTTGTCGTTGTCGCTGTCGTTGCCTTTGCTGTAGCGGCCAAGCGGCAAGAAACCAGTTTCCAAGACATGCGACTGGAAATCAAATTAGCGAGCTAAAAAGCTTCGTTTCGTTACCAAAAAGACGATTTTATGCCAACGCAAAGTTGGCCAACAATCTGCAATTTCAGTCTGCAAACGGTCAGCCAGGTGAACGGCAGCCAAGACAGGTTGGCAACAGTAAGTGGGCGTGGCTAAGCAACGCTGCGCATGCGCTGCGTTCGCACAAGTGTATATATGTGTGTGCGTTTGTGTGTGGCTGTGTGTGTGTGTGTGCGTGTTTAGCATTGTGTTGTAAAAAATTATATAAAATTTATATGACCAAACAAAAGTTTTGCATGCAAATTGATAGTGGTTGATGATAAAATTAATTTTCGTCAAAAAAAAATATATATATAATCAAATTAAACGCAGTCGTAAACGCCTTTGGGCAAAAGTGTTAAATGCAGCTGTATTGGTGTGAAAAACTAATGCGCAAGTGTCGTAATACTCTCAACAGAGTTTTCAATGAAATAGCGCTAAAAACTAAAGATGAAAATTAAAGTAAAAAAAAGAAAATAGTTAATCTAACGCGTGTGTTAAAAATATAAAAAAAAATACACACACATAAAATTAAAAACAACAACAATAATTTTCACAAGTGCACGCACACTATGCAATAAAACTGCAATGCACGCACACACATACATATGCAGGCATATGTTAGTCCCTCCCTCTCTCTCTCTCTCTGCCTCTCTCTCTCTCTCACAGTTGTGTGCGTGTGTTTGCAGTTTATTGTATAAAATTTTCCATTTTATGCTGCATTTTTAGCAAAAATTTAGCAAGGAAAAATATAAATGTATATATTGAAAATTTATTAAAAAACTAAAAACAAGTTTTGGATTATTTGAAAAAAAACAAAAAAAAAAAAACACAAATATTTTGCTAATTTTAAGGTAAGCCATGTGTCTCTATTTGAAATATTATGCAGCATCTTTTTTAGCCCAGCAGCCTCTTCAAAGCTCAGGGCCAAAACTCTTGGCAAAACTTTGCAAAATTATCTCAAGCGTTGCTAATTATTTGCCATGTACAACTTTTGCTGCAGTTGTTGTTGTTGTTATTGTTGTTTGCTGTTGGCTCAAAACACAACCAACATATTGTTGGTGTTGCTGTAGCATTACTTGCTGAAAATACACAAACAATTGCCATAATTTGTTTATACACAATTTGTTGCCTTTTTATCTATGGCTGGCGCATCTCTTGGCCAAAGAGCCCAAACAAAACATCGCCGATTTTACTTTCATCAACAGCTACAGTAAACACAACAACAACAACAACAGCAACAATAACAACAACCGCAACAACAACAGTTACAGCAAACAAATTTTTAAATTTTACTTTCATTCATCTGCGACCAAGCGTATGCGAACATTATTTTTATTTCTTATACATTGTTTTATTTTTATATATATATACATTATTTTTTCTCTTATTTTGTAATTTCTTCAAGCACTTAGTGCTCATTTTTTCCATTACACCCAGTTTTCCTAGCACTTAAATTTTTGTTAATTACTGGGAAACACCTAAAAGGCCTTTTAGATGCGTGTGAAACGGAGATTTCTCATTGAGCTGATGCTGCTCTCTTTTATTTCTGTCTCACCTTTTTTTTGCATATGCTCAAACGACTTTACTCGAATAAATCGCAACCGGAATCGGCGATTAGCTTATTTGGCCATAACAAAAGCAAAAAGTAAAATAACAACAACAACAATTGACAAGCACACAGATTGAAACTGAAAACTGATTTTCCAAAAAGAAAACTTCGGTTTCACTTGCCACTTGCCACTTGCAAACGCGAGCGAACGCATTCAAAAGTTGTGAAGATGAGAGCAAACTGAAAATAATGTTGATATACATACACATACATATATCAATTAACTTTGATGAAGTGTGATATATATATTTTATACATTTTATATATATTATACAAAAATGTACATATTTTTCATGTTTATATTTGGCACTAAGCACTTCTGGTAATAGAAATAGTTGCAAGCATTATCATAATCATTAGCATATAATAATATTTTGTAGGAAGAACATTCTGATTAGAATCCATATTAATGAGCCGTAGACACGCTATGCGTTTTTAAGGTCAGAATTATAGAAACGTCAAGGTCTTATATTATATATGCTTTTTTTCAAGAAAATTTTTAAATAGGCAAATTACATATATACTATTATATACTAAACATAGATACTATTGTTAAGAAACGACCAAGATTTATGGCTTAGCATTGTGAACTTGATCTATCGCCATAGGTAAAATATCTCTTGGCAATAAAAAAGTTGCTTTCAGTCAAGTTTAAAGTGCTATTTTAGGTTTCTAATTAATCATCGTTAAGCTATTGAGATTTAGTGCTGATGCATGCCTCTTAGATCTCTATCAAGTAACTTGTGATAGTTGTACTTGAGCTACTCCCATACGCAGTTGGCAACAAGTGAGCGATAGTGTATAATTGGCTTAAGCTAATCTTGGCAATCTGCCCGAAATCGATTCACGCTGACAAATGGCTCTACAAAGGGCAATTAGCTAAGCCCACATTAATATTGTATAATAGCATGCTAAACAGATCGAAGAAAACAAAACAGAAATAGAAGAAAAACAAAAACAAAAACTGCACCACAAAATTCAACAGAAATCCGAAAACCACAACAGCTGAGGCGACCTTGAAAGCAAACCACAAAAAATATAACTTAAAAAAAAAAGTCAAATGAAAAGTCCAAACACCGAACGGAGATGCTAATTTTTTGATGACAACGCAGCAGCTCGAGTCAGAGTTTGGAACCGGCATCTATTGAAGATCAGCAGCGCTCCTCGAAGAGGCAACCGGTTGACACGACACGATGCATAAATTAAAATATATATATAGTATATATATATATATAAAGTATTATCAAGTCAAAATAAAAAGGAAAAACTGTGTAGCGAAACCAGTTGCTGACGTCGCTGCGACGACACATTTCACAGAAATTTGGTGGATTGCTCGCATTAGAAATGCAAATGAAATCGAGAGCTCTTTTTGTCAGCCGAAATATAGGGTATAGTCTCTATATATATACATACGTATTTAGAGTATATATAACTGGCAGCTCCAGACGAAAGTCTGCGGCCTTTTGCAAATGCATAAATTTCTGTATTCTGATGGTGCATTGTCTCTCACTGCGACTGTGACTGTGACTCTAACTGTGACTGCGACCTTAAGCCGCTTCCAGCTCTGCCTCCCCTAGCATCTCTATGTTCATTGTCTCTGTCTAGCTAATATTTTAATTAGTTAACGTCATTTGCCAAAATCAACTTGAATAAAAACGGAGAGAAAAAAAAAGACAGAGAACAAATATTTATAGAAAAAACCCACACACGCACAATCAGAGATTTTATTGCTAAATTATGTGAAAAACTCAACAAATTTGAGTTTTGCGATTATTTTTCTGCCAATTTGCACAATTTCAAGGCGCTCGCGCTCATAAAAAGCCCCAAAAGAAAACTATAAAATTAGATAATTCACAGAAATAGAAATAGAATGGATATAATAAATAATTTCACAGAAATAAAAACTAAAATTTAATTCAATTAAATTCTTATTTGAAAACTTCCTGTGATACATAAATTGGTTCTTTGATATTTCCGTTATCTAAGTGACTAGAACTAAAACTGAACTAAAACTGTGACTGCGACTACGACTTAAAATTTGTTTAATAATAAAATAATGTTAAGTTCACTGTGACTTTAACAGTTACTGTAACTGTATTTGCAAACTGATTTAAGCACTGCAACAGATACCAATAGATACCATACCAATATAACTCATCCTTCTGGAAGATCAACTGCACAAGCTTCGATTCTGATTGCAGCACAGGTTCAAGCTATGCAGAAATATTTGTGTTTCGCTTCACATCAGCAGCAATTATAGATGTTACTAAATCGGCAGCTGTGACTGTGATGAAAATTGTAATTATGGTGAAGCTCTTATTTATAAATTAAACTCACCCAGAGCAGCTGTAGCTGTTGCTGAAACTGCTACTGTGAAAAAAACTGTGACTGCTACTGAAGCTGTTACTAATCAGAGAACAAAAATAAATTCTTATGCTGACTAATACACTCATATATATTTCTACATATACATGTATATTTTACCTATATAAGTGTATAAGAAATTGCTCTACTTTAGACTATATAAAACAATAAAATTATAGCTATTACAGTGACTACGACTATAACTGTGACTGCTACTGCCATTTGCCTGCCCATCATCAATAATTTGTTAAATTGAAGACAAACGAAAAGCAAAGACAATAACAGCTCCAGCAACAGCTCCAACAACAACAGCAACAACAATTTTACCGGTATTCGTGTGTTTGTAAGCGATCGTGCTTAGCCTTGAATTTGAACTTGGCTAAAAGGCAATTCAACAGCACGGAATCTTCGAGGCATATCAATACAAGTCAGCGACATCCACACAGACAGACAGAAAGCCGCGCTTAATGGTGGGCCGTAAAAAATTAGATGCTCATCTTATTATTATTGTCATTTGCGGCGCACAATGGCCAGATATTAATATATAGTATTGTTTATGACAACACAAAGTGCGGCCAATATAAGGGAATCAGCAGCCATAAATTAATAATTTAACTTGTTTAGTATGCCCATATATCATACCATAACATAAAAGTCGAAACGCGCTTGACCTTAGATATTTGAAATAAGAGATGGAGTACTTATTACATATATGGAACAGAGAGAGAGAGAGAGAGAGAGAGAGAGAAAGAGAGAGAGTGAGAACAGTAAAGCGAGCTTAAATGCCAACCATAACTTGATTATCTATAATAATATATATAAAATATCTTGATTATCTATAATGTCGGCTCATTAAATTATTTGATCATCAAAGATTTTAATTCCCAGCTTTATTCAGCTTGAGCGCTGCGTAGCTGAACCCTTTGACATTTAAAAAATTTATACAAGCCTGCATCATGTTGTTGGAGGTTGCATGAACAGAACCAGTTGGCTGCACTCGGCTATTATCATCATTTGTCACATATTTATCTAAACTTAGGCTCAAAATGTCAGAAACTGCAAACACGCAGCTGGAGACATCGTCAAGAGACATCATCATAAGCCACAACAACAAACATCAAGAAACCAAAAAAAAAAAAAAACCTACTTAAAATGCGCGACACACATTATTTTTGTGGATCGGGGTGTGAACGGCAAAATCTTTGAACTCCGTCGCATTGGTAAAGCACACAGAAAGAAGAAGAAAACGACAAACGATAACCGACAGACGCCAGCGACATACAAAACAATGAAAAAAAAAAAAAACAAAATTGTGCCATGAATAACTGAAAGGCTGAGCAGCTGCGCAGCTGAAGCTACAAAAATCCATTACCCAGAGCAAATCCATTGAAGCTTCCTCTTTGCCAAAAAGTGAAGAAAGGAAAACCAAAATAAACAGTCAGCGTCGCGTTGCGCTGTCTGACATTTCGAAATGCGCATACGCCCCGTTAAACGAATGGGTAATCAAATTCAAGGAAAATCAATAAACAATGCATAATAAAACTATTATCCGTTATATATATCTGCACCATCTGCATATATATGTATGCATGCAAACAATGCCAAACTGACGAATTACAATGCTCCAATGAACCTTTCGATTTGTTTCACTAAGCTAAACCCGCCTCTCTTACTCTATCTGCCTCTCCCTCTCTCTCACTGATTTTGCAATAAATCAACTGCAAGTGTTTAGCAGCTTGGAATTTGCAGTGAATATATATATATATATATATAGTATATATGTATGTATACTATGCTTAAATGATATCAATATAAATAATTAAAGCACTTACTTTTTATGGCAGCTGCCGCTTTTGAAATTTTGATTTTTGCTTTTGATTTTGCTTTTGATTTTGGCTTTTCTTTCATATAAATATATGTATATATCTATATAGATATATTTGCACAGCCAATTAAAACGCATTGAAAATGAAAGTGTTGCCGCATTGTAATTGTAATCTATTGTTCACTTTTCAATTTGATATAGTTATGCATTGCCCGACTGTCTGTTCGTCTGTCCCTCTCTCTCTCTCCCTCTCTCTCTCTTTCTGCCCATCTGTCTTGCTCTGTATTTGCTTTTGTTGTTGCCCTTTCGCTGAGCTTTACGTAAGTGACATTGAAGGCAGCGGCTAATTATGCAATTACTAACTACTTCAACTGAATCAAAGTGTTTAAATTAACGAAAATTCAACGGAAATAAAAGCGAAGCAAAAGCGTTTAAATCTATCATAAATTGAAATTCATAAAAAACTGCAAAATGTACAGTCATTTCATTTATTTATCTTTTTTATTTCATTAAACATAAATTTATAGGCATTTCGTTTTGTTACTAAAATAAAAATATTTGGTTTATATGGTTTTATTAGCCAATAATGCCAAATTGCCAAATAAGCTAAAGAGTAAATATTATTTAACTTAAATTCAGCTTAAGGTGAGCAAGAAAACTTTTTATAAGTTAGGTTTTCTACATTTCTGAACAAAGAGCAAATCATAAATATTTTAAATCTTAAACGAAAAAATATATATATTTAAATATATATTTAAGTTTTAAGCGAAATACATGGCTAAGTATATTTACTAAACAATTATGGAATTCAACGTAAAGCAGTTTCACTTCTTCCATTTTCATCGTTTAGCCATAAAGACGAAGCATAGAAAATCAGACGATTTTAATGTCTAGAATACTTTCTATAGCCATATTCAGATATATGTATATATTCATATACTCATATGTATGCTAGGTTCAGAAATCAATTGACTGAATGACGGCCGAGCAGCTGCAAAAGTAACGTTAATCAATATAAATATGTATATGTGTGTGTATGTGCTTGTGTGTAATGCAGTTAGGTGTAGCTCCGAAAAAAATCAGAAATACTTGAGAATTGCGTGCCGAAAATGTTAATTGAAGAACCAAACGGAATCGAGAGACATTTCTTTTCTTTTCTTTTTATCGTTCAGTGACTCTTTTAAAGCATAAATCTTTGACCAAGTACATGGTTATGACTGTGAGTGTGAGTGTGTGTGTGTGTGTGTGTTCGCTTGTGTGGGCGTATTAATTGGCAAATTCTCGCATTTTTGTTACAACACTTTGTGTCTTTCCTTTTGCTTCATTTCTTTTTCTTCTTTTTTTTTTGTGGAATTTACATAATAATGTTATTATATTTGTTTCTTTGTTTTATTTCTGTTCAAAGCATACCAAAGCGGAAAATATAAATACAACAGTCACTGAAGAGTCGTCATAATGAAGAGAGCCACAAGCTGGCTGATCATAACAGCGACAGGTGAGTCGAGCCGAGTTGCTCAAGGAAAGGTTGCATTAACTAAATTGTTGTCCCGAACTGGATTATGGAACAGCAGCAGCAACTGCTGCTGCTCTGATATAATTCAGGCACAAAAACTGTTTCGCTTATGCAATTAAACAAAAAAACCAGCTATAATTTAACACATTTATTTCTTGTTTTTTTTTTTTTTTTTTTATGGCCAGTGCTGTTATTGGGTCTGCTCAGCTCTGCGGATGCTGCGCTGCCCTTCAAAAAGGTTTCCATTGCCAAAAATCCCGCCTCTACAACCACAAGCACAACGACCACCACAACGACTCCAGAGCCTGTCACAGAGAAGGAGGAGCCGCCCACTGCTGAGGGCGAGGAGGGCAAGGTGAGCACTGCATAGCACTCTCATGGCTTCAGATCGGCAATGAAACTTCTCTAATTTGCAGTCGGAAAATGGCACGATCTCAAAGAGAAAACTGACGGGCATACCCCAAATCGATTATGTCTGGGATCCAAATCTGCCGAGGGAGCTGAGAGGGTGAGTTTACACAATATATAAATAAACAGAATGTTTTTCGTAAGGAAACCGTAAATAACAATTTTTTGTGTACTTATTTTTTTTTTTTTTTCTTTAATGCAGCTACAATCTCTCGACCTATCCTTTCTTGTCTTCCGTTCCGCCCATGGATGAGATCCACTTCAAGTGCGAGGGTCTACACGATGGCTTCTATGCCTCCATTGAGTACAAATGTCAGGTAAGTGAATTCGTTAATGATAAATTACTCAAATAAGACTCATAGGTAAAATTTTCAGGTAATTTAGGTAATTTAGAGAACAGAAGTGAGAAGCAATGTTCTGATTTTCATTCTCCCATATTTAATGTCAATTTCCATCCGTCTCAGATTTGCCATCGTTCCTCATGTTGTTAATCTTCCCACTCTGTCCCTCTCTTTGCATACGACTCTTGCTTTGCTCTCATTATGCACAAATGCATACAAAGATCTCGTCTCCTATATTTTTTGTGGAATAGTTCTTATTCCTTAGCCGCCCATTAAAACATTCAAATCTCACTAATACTCGAAGAATATCACATAATAATCTGTAACTAACAGACTATAAAATATTCTCCAAGTAAAGGGTCACTGGGGCCAGCCAAATTATATGTTTTGCTAACTATGTTATGTGTCGGTTGACCTTGTGTTCACAGTAGCGCAACGGGGAATGCGGTCTGGGGAGTGGGGACTGGGGAATGTAGGAGGCGACGTTATCCAATTGGCCAAGTTGAACAGCCAGCTACCACGTAACTCGTGTCCAGTAATTTCTCTTTTAGCCGCCGTCGTGTGGCTTACGTGCCCAGAGGCGAAGCCAAGAAAGAAAAACATTACAAAAATAATGATAATAAAAAAAACTTGTCTGCGTGTCGATCTTGACCTCAAAATGAATTTTGTTTGCCTGGCAAAGAGACGTTAAACAGACTTCATTCACACCTCCAGTGGGAGTACCCGATTTAGTTGTACGCAAATTACACTAACAGCTCTCCCAACTATTCGCAGATCTATCATCATTGCGTCTATGGCATACGACACGATTTCCTTTGCGCCAATTTCACGGCCTTCGATCAGCGCACCTTCATTTGTCACTTTGCCTCCGACGTGGACTGCGAGGGCTCGCAAAAGTATTGGAACAGGTGAGTGCGAAACACAGGTGAGCTGCTTAGCGCACCGTGACTAACTGGAGTTGTTGCCTCATCGCACAGAAACGATGAGCTGTATATGGCCACCACTACGTCTTCGACGAGTACCACCACAACGGAGCCACCACCACCACCACCGCCGCCACCCAGACGTCGAGGTCAACGTCCCTACCATCGGCCCTACAACCGCCGACCCGTGGATGACTATTACTACGACGAGACTGACGATGAGTACTACGATGATCGCTATAGTCGTCGCAATCCACGACCCCGCCCACGCAAGCCACAGCTGGACTACGACGATGAGTACGATGAGAAGAAGCCGCTGCGACACAATAGAAATCGCTACAGGGATGAGGAAGATCTAATAGACGAGGACTACGAAGATCGTCGTAATAGACCTGGCGGCCGTCGAGGAAAGCCCCCAGCGGGCGCAGTCGGACGTGGTAAGGCAGTGCCCCGCAAGCCCGGACGAGTGGATGAGCGTCGCAGCTTTACTGAGGACCGCGATGTAGAGGAACCACGTCGTGCGGCTGGCAGACGCCGCAGCAGCGATAAGCGCCCGACGCCCTCGACAACAGCTGTGTTGGATGAGCTCGATGAGTACGAGAAGCCGTACGAGCTGGATCAGGAGGAGGCAGCCGAGGAGCAGACTCCACAAAAAGTAAAAACCACGCCCAAGCCGCTGACCGAGTTCGTCACGCCGAAAGCAGCGGCTTCCTCTGTCTACGCCCGTCCACGTGCCCCACCCCGCATAGCCCGTCCCGTGCCCGTCAACGAGAAGAAGAAGTACTCCTATCCAGTGCAGAAGAACACGGCGACTACGCCAGCTTCAGCTGGTAACGAGCAGGAGGACGACGATTACTATCAAGATCGTGAGCAGCAGGAGGATGACTATGAGCAGCCCGTACAGCCAGCGCGCTCTGGCTCTCGTCGACGCACTGCAGCGCCCAAAGAGCAGAAGCCCACGCGCTCCACGCTACGCAAGCCGGTCACAGACAAGAAAACACTGCTGGATCTGGAAGACGACTACGAGGTGGAGCAGAGGGAGACGCCACGGCGCAAGCGTCCGCAGGCCATCAGAGCGCGTGTCCCACCTGCCGATGTGGACTTTGTGGATGATGTGGACTACGAGGAGCGACCAGTGCCTGTACGAGGTCGCGTGCGTGCCAAGGCAGGAGTAGTACGTAAGCCCGTCGCGCGTCCACGCCAGCCCATTGTCCACGAAGAGGAAGAGGAGCTGCTGGAGCCCGTCAGCGAGGAGCTGTCGGAGCAGCAGCGTGCTCCTCCAGCGCGCACCAAGTCCAACTCCTTGGCGAGCTTAACTCCGGCGCGTCGTAATCAGAAACTGGCGCTGGCCGCGCGTCAGCGTGCGCTGCCCACCTCCACGACAACAGCAGCACCAGCCCTGGAAGAGGAGCTAGCCGAGGAGGAGCCATTGCAGGCGGAGAATGAAGAGCCTGATGAGCCACTGGCGCCCGCAGCACCACCTAAACACCTGCGACCCGCTTCGGTACGTGTGGTCAAGCGACCCTTCCTGCCGTCGCGTGGCGGCAGCCCCTATTTGCCGCGTGGCCTGCAGCCGGTGGGTGTGGCAGTGCGAACGGGCCAGCTAGCCAATGAGGCGCGCACCACAGACAGCACGCCCATTGACATGGGCTCGACCATATCGGGCGTGCGCCTGCTGGAGCATGGAGCTCCACTGCTGCGCGGCGAACAGCCAGACAGCGATAGTGATGAGCTGCCGGCACCGTCGCCCAACCCACCGCGCACCACATTGCCGCCACGCAGTGCATTGCCCACGCCGGTAACGCCGCGTCGCCCCGAGCCACCACAGCCGGTCAAGCTCAATCTGGACGAACTCTATGAGAACGACTACGATGTGACGCTGAACGATGCGCTCGATCCCACGCTTAAACCGCTTACGCCACTGCATCCACATCAACAGCATCAGCATGCCAACTATCAGAGCCGGCCCTATGCCAGTGCGTATTCAGCTCCTGCACATGGTAGCGGGTCGTATAATCCATTTGCCGGCCATGCCAGTGGCAACAGCAACTATCAGCAGGCATCCATCTATCAGAATCATTCGCCGTCATCATCCATTGCATCCGCTTCGCAGTCTCAGTCACTGTCACAGTCACAGTCACCGTCACCGTCACAGTCACAGTCACAGTCACAGTCGCAATCGCCACCGAACTATCATAGTGATTCCTATTTCTCATCGACAGATATACGCCGGCGAGCGATTGTCCCGGCGCAGAACGCGCGTTCACATAGACACGAATACGCTGCCCGAGGAGCAGTGAGTGGCGCCCAAGTGGGCACACGACTTGCCCAGCATTACTATGATGAGTTTGCATATTAGAGTCGCGGTTACAAGTCTGTGAAAAATTAAGGTACATCACATTGTGGATCTACGCATGCGAATACAATCTAATATATGTATATCCATATGTCTACTTTCAGTTTCTTCAGCTGTATATAACTTTCAACAACTAGAAGGCAGATCGGTTGCCCAGGCAACTGCTTTTCTACACTATCTTTTACGCTATCTAATTATAATATATTTTTTCTCTAGTTAAAGTTCAAGCAGGCATCATTTTATCAGCTCAATTTGCGCTTAACTTTCTACATGAAACAAACAAAAGAAAACAAAAACACTAAATTTAATAATATATACATTGTATAATACTCAATTGTCGTGATAGTAGCCGAGACAAAAGGTAATCTTCAAATTTTGTCTGCTAATTTTTATGTAGTACACAAACAACAAATCAATTCAACATTATGAACAACAAACAAGAAACATCAACAATCAACGTGAACAGCCTCTGCGCTTAGCTAAATACTCGGACAAGAAAATTAAAACAAATTAATTTAAATTTAGTATGCAAGACAACATTTTGTGTGCGTGTTAATATTTAAGCTGTATTCTAGGCTCAAGTCGAGTGCTTAAACAAAATTAAAGATATGAAACAAAACAACTAAAAACTAAATGCGTTACGAAATCTTATTTACATTGAACTTTATTGCGTTTCGCTGGTGCAGAGGCAGCTCTTCAGAGCCTCCGTTGCCTCCTCCAAATGGTCAAGCTTTTTCATAAGAATTATCTGGGCACAAATATATTATTTAGCTATGAATAAAGTAGGTATAATTGGACTTACCTTGGCAGCTGATATTATTTCGTTGGCCACCTTAAGTGGCATGAATTCCACAGCTTTCACCAGCTCGAACGGTCGTGTCTTGGCCACATCTTCAATGGTTCTAAAGCCAGCGGCATAAAGCTGCTTGGCGCGATTCTAACAAATACAGCAGAGTTACAAAAAGTAATATGGCCAAATGTCCTGAATCACTCACAATCTTTACAGCGGGCAGCTCGAGCAGTGGTTCCAGTTCCTGCGTGCCACAGCGATCCATTTTATGATTGATGCGCTCGAACAGAGGCTTGAAGCACCAGAACTCGTCAATTTGCTCGCACAGACGAACGATGGCACTGGCTGCTGCGGTGCTTTGGCTGATCAGCTGCTGCAGCGTTCCGCGCTCTACATTGTACTTGCTGGCGATGCTGGGCAGGGGATGTAGGCTGAGGACATCTGCTAGAATGAGCACTTTGTAGAGGCGATTCAATTGCAGTGCCAATGGACCCTGCACGGACTGCGTCTTCGCTAGCTTGGCGGCATGTGCTTCCGTAAAGCCCAGCTGCTTGAAGAGCGCCTGAGTCTGGGCCGGAAGCAAATTGTACTCGCGGAAGAGTATGGACGCATCGGCAGGTATCAGCTCATCGCCACGCTCATTAGAATTGAAGCACACAACCAAATACAGCAGATGCACGTAGCTGGTGAGAATCAGCTGCTGTTGCGCCAGCTGCAGTTCCTTGTGTATGGCAAAGGTACGTTTGTAGTCTATGCCCGCCTTGAAGGCGGCGCGCCCAATGCTCGTCAGTTGAAAACGCGTAGATTGACTAATGAGCAAGCGACGATCGGGCGCCGAGCGACCGCTCTGGTTAATGTCTTGCGTGGTCATTATGTCCGAGCTATTGGGCTTGCTCTTGGGCGCACTCTCTCTCAGTTGCAGCACTTTGTTCTTAAACATATCGCGCAGAATGCGCAGCACCAGCTCATCCACAGCAACTTCCAAGGCGGCGGCCTGCACGGCTAGCAAAGTGCTGTTCACTAGCCGATTGAGATCGCGTCTGCAGTCAGCAAGATTCAGGCCAATGACACTCAGTATTAGAGACTAGAAATAAGTTTGACTAAATAGAAGAATTCGAATAACAGATTGCATAGACATACCTGCAAGCCAACAGCTTCGAATTGATCCAGCGAACTCAGTGCCTTGTCCATAGGCGAGAAGAGCATTTGACCAACCAGGGCATTGTCCTTGCTCTGAGTAATGAGAATACTCTCGCCAGCCTCGCCAAGACCAGCACGACCTGCCCGTCCGACCATTTGCTTGTACTTGCACAACGTCATGAACTCTTGACCCACATAGGGCGCACGTATGATCACACGCTTGGCTGGCAGATTGACGCCCGCAGCCAGCGTGGAGGTGCAGCAAATGACTGTGATGACGCCAAAGCGATAGGCAGTTTCAATATATTTGCGCTCGTCCGTGGTTAGGCCAGAATGATGATAGGCAATACCATACGGCAATGTTTTGGCCAACACTGGACTTAGAATGCCACACATCTTGTCGAGAGCGTCCATGAGATCAGCTTTTTCGCTCTGCCGATGCTCAAAGAACTTTTGCTTGGGCACAATGCGGCTTAGTAGCAACGCTACATTCTCACAGTTCTTGCGCGTGGGACAAAAGACCAGACAGCAATGCTCCGGGGCACATTCGGTTATCAAGCCAGCCAAATGATCAGGATCGGCACGCTCCACAGCAGCGCTGTACTGTAAAAGAGTAAAATTGTAAAATATTGATGGTAGAGAGTAGCCACATTCCTACATTGTAGTTAACCGTGCGACTAGGCACAAAAATCTCCTCAAGCGTTTGTCCAGCTGAATTGATTTCCAGCAAATCATTTCCACATTTAATGAATTCCTTAAGCTCTACTGGACGAAAGCCCCGCGTATACACATCCGCATTGAGAAAAGATGAGATTTCATTCAGATTGCCAATGGTGGCGCTCATGCCTACAATTTGAATGTTCGCTAAAATCGGAACAAAGTAGTACAATTCGCACTTGAATATTTATCTATGTGGGTAAACATGTGAATACCTTTCAAGAACATAACCTTGGTTAGGAAAGCCTCTAGTGTCGCACCGCGTCCGCGTTCGCCAATCAAATGCAGCTCATCAACAACTACCATGCCGATTTCATGTGCCCTTTGCGCATCGATCAGACTGTCCATTAGAACGGCGCCCTTCTCGATAGAAGCTACAAACAGGCTGCGTCGCTTACGTTGCGGCTGTGGCGGGCATTTGCCCTTGCCCGCCGTATACTCATCCACAATGAAGTCGAGTGCAATGGCAAAAGGTGACATTGCGCTTACCTTCTCCTGCACGATGGACACATATGGGAGTATGAAGAGGACATTCCGTTCTCGGCAAAGCAGCTCGCGCAACATTAGGATTTCGGCAACCAAAGTCTTGCCACCGCTAGTGGGCAAAGCATAAATAAGATTCTTACGCTTGTGTATGGCAGGCAGATTCAAACACTCATCCTGCCATTCTGAAAGAATTTTAATATTAGCTGTAGCATGCCATGAGCAACTTACTCACCATATAAACTTTTGATGCCCTTGTGCTCAAATATTAATTTCTTCACCTTATCCGGCAGTCCATAAAAATCGCCTTTACTGGGAAAGCTGTTGTTGTGCTCTTCCTTAGAGGTTTCGAATTCGGAAAACGCCTGCGTCTGCCAGTCCAACTGATCGAGCGCTGCAAGGTCTTGTTGTGCCTGTAGCATGGAACGGTTCTGTAGCGCTTCATATGTTGCATACTGTGTGCCCTGCACAATACCTTCCAAAATGGACTTGGATATGAAGGACATTGACATGGAGTCCTCTTTGGTTTGAGTGGCGGGTATTTGTAGTCGATCTGGAGATTTGGGAACTTTAAAAGCCACTGCGTCCATAAAAAGTTGTGTATTTTGTACAAGAGGGTCGCTATAATCATCACCCCCATGGAAAATATTCTCCATTTCAGTAACTGTCAAATCATTGAGATTGATCTCTTTGAAGCTCTGCTCTTTTATGTTGTTCTTTTCTTCAGTCTTCGCCGCCACCGCCGCTGTTTCGTCTGAGCTGGGCATTGAAATATCACCAAAGAGACTATCATCCGACTGGCTCTGATGAAACTTATTGCTGGTTTGACTACTGAAAGGTGCAGATACGACATTATTTTGTCCACTAAACAAATCCTCCAACTTTGCATTTGAAAAAAAACTGGCATCATTGTCCGGCCAAAATATACTCTCGTTCATTTCCATGCTTTGTTCGGGTCTATTATGGTCGACACAAGCTCGTTTAATAGGCACATTATGTTCTGGTGTTGAGCCTTTGCTTGTAAATTTCCTTTTGGACATTGTATAAAGAAAACATTACTCAAATGCAACGCGCCAAAAAGTGCAATGCAGCTGATTTTCCATATGATAGTGGTGCCACTAAGATTCCCAAATGCACTAGTATTTTATGCAATTGATGGTATTTTTTCGATATTTTGTCTAATTTTAAGTCCAGAGAAAATCGAAACTCCTAGAATTTTATTTCATGTGGCATATGGTCACACTTACGATATCAGTTTTCATATTGTTGAGCGCAGAAGTTTTTGCATTGCAGTTTTGCATATATTAGAGCTTCTGATTCACAATTCTCTTCAATGTGCTTCCGTAATGGCTGCGCAATGCAGTTATTGGTACTTAGAGCACGTCAGCACCGGCAAAAAATTAATTCTTCAGTCTGGCGACAATTTAGTAGGCAGGCACTCGTGTTGCAAGATTGTCTTAAAGGATTATGATTTTTTGTCTCGGCAGCATGCGAAATTTATAATAAATAGTGAAAATATCGTGAGTGTGGAGCAGTTGGTAAGTTGTCTATTTTATGTACAAGTATAAACTATTTATAATAAATATTTCATATTGATCATTGCAAGAATGCGTTAAATGGCATCTTTATAAATGAAATTAAGCTCGAAGTCAAGATTCAATCGCTTACATCCGGCGATAGAATCGGCCTTGGGGTACAAGTTGAGTCCTTGGATGATGTGGTTCCCCCGAACTATGCCATATTTCATTTAAAGCAAATGTGTCCCAACGCTGCAGATATTGTCATCATATCAGATGAGGAAGACATTGATCTGACACCGCCCAGAATTGTCCCAAAAATTGTCAACAATAATAATGGGGACGCCTCTGAATTGCAAAAGCCAGAGGTTAGCAATGTTGAAGGCTCTACTGATGAATGCACCTCAAATGCAACTACAAATCGCCCAATACATTTGCCAAAGCTGCCAGAAGTGAAGCAGGAGTTACTCTCTCAGGCAACCAAAGAGATTGAAAACATATTCGGCGAGCCCGATGAGGAATTGCTTGAATCGGTGTTTCAAATTAATCCTTATGTCTACAAACAGCTAAACAACAATAACATTGCGCCATCTGGTGGTAAAATACATGATGGCGATGTAATTGAGCTGCCCGAAGAGGTTAACTCGCCACAACTAAAGGAGAATTTCCAAAATCCAGACATGCCACCTCCAAAATTGCCTGTCGCATCAGACAAGATATCAAAGGATGATAAGATAATTGTAGATGACAACGAGGATGACTATGATGAGAATTTTGAGCTGTCACAAGCTGTTTTGCGCGAAATGAAAGAAGAAATGGCCGATAGTCTGCATGAGGACTGTGACAGCGAACAGGAAGAAGAAGATTTTCAGCCAGCTGCGCCGTGGGTTAAATCAGAGATAGCCACAAAAATTGATGACGATGAAATTATAGTCATTGAGGATGAAGACGATGAACTCTATAGCAAAGTGGCGGATTGGT